CTCCCAGTCTGGTTCTTGGGGGGTCATTTCTGGTGTTGGAGAATCTCGAGGTGCCAGGGATTGAACCTCAGGCCCCAGCACACAAACCACATGCTTCAGTTCTTGAGTCATTTTCTGCTTGTTCTGTGTGTGTGTGTGTGTGTGTGTGTGTGTGTGTGTGTTGAAGCCAAGGCCTCACACATATAAAGTATGTTCTCTTCTAATGAGTCACATCCCTTTCCTTAAAGGAAGAATTCATCATTTCCTTCACAGAGGCTTTAAAAGTTTCTCATTCAATTATTTACATGATTTGTAATTCTTCCTTTTTGTCCATTTTCCTCATTCCCATTCCTAGTTATGGCAAATATTGAGAAAATAAACATTTACAAGCCCACTTCTGACCCCATCTCAGCTTCTGCCACTACCTGAAGCCCTCTCAGATACTCTGTCGGCTGGCCCTTCCCCCTTGCTTGTTTCTCAGCTGATTCCATCCCTTCCTTTAGGCTTGACCTAAATGTCATCTACTTGGTGTCTCTTTTCCTCCAGAGCACTGATCAGAGCTTACATGTTTCTGTTAGAATGGCTTCTTCCTGAGTTAATAAGTCTAGAAAGAGACATTTTTCTGGAGACTGTTGAGTTTTCCAAACCTAGTCGGCCAATGGCCTCCTTTTCAGGAAAAGGAAGTTGGTGTCCCCCCACAAATCTCTTCATTTATAAGCAAATAGAAAGCATCCCTGTTCCCTAATTGTACATAAATCTACTTCCAGTCTTTTGGTTGTTCCAGCACCACCACCTCACCTACACACCCAGGGGTAGTATCTCCCTGTAGGGAAACATGGATCTAATGGACTTAGTATGCGGGACAGAATACTTGAGTAATTATGGAGTTCATGTCCAGATCTTTCCTGCCAGTCTCCTTCCTTCACATCACCTTTTCTCCCTCTCCATGGACATACCTCCCCACTCACAACCACTCTTGCCTTTAAATCATCTTAATTTAAGATGTACTTATCTGTAACACTTGAGCTACTGTTTCTTGTTACTATCTAATTTTTCTCTAGACGCAATGTTCCTATTTCCACACCAATTTGGTTTCATCTCAGTCACCTATTAAAAGGGCTGCCTCAAACATGATCACAACTTCAATAAATCCAGTGGTCAAATTTCAATCCCGATTTAATTTCTTTATGTTAGCTGATAACTCAAGTATTTTCTTCTGGTATAGTTTGTTTTGTGTTCTTTTCCTGCCTCTCCTATCTTTGATTTCTGTTTTTGCATCTTTGCCTGCTCCCTTGCTGTGCTCAACTTTACTTGCAACATCAATGCCTGCTCATTAATCAGCAAAAATGAACTAAGTGACCACCATGAATAGGGTATTGTGTGAAGTCCGTGCTACAATAGTCAAGACAGAATGTACTATGTACTTGTCTGGCATAGAGCTTAGAATCTGGCAGGGAGGGTGAAAGTAAATAAGAATCCCATCCAAATTGGGATGATATTGAAGAAAATAGGATGGAATCTGGGTGACTCCAGGGTGGAGGCATTTAATATTGACCATGAGAAATAGAGGAGTCGAAATTCTACCCAAAAGAGAAAAGCTATTTAAAACTTACTGGCCTTAAAGTAAGCAGGACCTGGGAGTTTGAAAGCCAGTCCAGTGGGACTCAATAGAGAGCAAGGCCGAAGGAGATAAAGCCCAGACCAGAGCAGACGATCAAGTATTCAGTGCACTCAGTGGCATCGTAGCTATGTTTATCAAGCACTCGGCCCTGGCAGGGCAGTTTGTCCTTTTTAAAAGTACTTCAGTATCATTCTTGCAGTTTTGAATTGATATTCCTCCCCTGTATTTGAGAAAGTGAGGATTACTAAAGAAATTTCTTCATAGGATGACATCATCAGGAAGGAGAGAAAAAAATAAATATCTATGCATTTAATAGTAAGTGTAAAAACATGCTGGGGGAAAAGGCAGCTCAGACAGAGAAGGGAACACCGAGTAAAGGATGTTTGGAGGATTGGCTGGGATGCAAGATGCGTGCTGAAAGTAGACTATAGACCGAACACGATGGCCACTTAATACCTCTATTGAAAACCAAAACACCCTAAAGGAAAGGGAGAGCAAAAGGGAATGCCCTGTCACAAAGGCAGGGTGGAGTGGAGGAAGGGTGTGGGGGGAAGGGCTACTGGGATCAGTGGTGGTGGAGAATGGGCACTGGTGGAGGGATGGGTACTTGGTCATTGTATAACTGAAACCCAAGCACTAAAGTTTCTAAGTCTACAACTGTACCTCATGGTGTTTCATTAATAAAAAAAGGGGGGGAGGGGCTGGAGCAATGGCACAATGGGTAGGGTGTTTGCCTTACACATGGCCGACCCGGGTTCGATTCCCAGCATCCCATATGGTCCCCCGAGCACCACCAGGAGTGATTCCTGAGTGCAAAGCTTGGAGTAACTCCTGAGCATCGCAGGATGTGATCCAGAAAGAAAAAAAAGTTATAAATATTAACTTTTAAAAACCTCACCTTTTTTTTAATCTCTTAAGGATTAAATTTAGAGACCCAAGTGAATAATGAAATGGGTACATAAGATCAGAAAGATACCCTCAAGCAAGCCTCCCAATTAAAAATAAAATATGGGGCTGGAGCAATAGTACAGTGGGTAGGGCATTTGCCTTGCATGTGGCCAACCCAGGTTCGATTCCCAGCATCCCATATGGTCCCCTGAGCACCACCAAGGTGCAGAGCCAGAAGTAACCCCTGCACATGGCCTGGTGTGACCCAAAAAATACACTTTGGGGCCAGAGTGACAGTACAGCGGGTAAGTATAGTGGGTAATCTGCGGGTAAGTGTAGTGGGTAATTTGCATTGTACACTGCCAACCCAGGTTCAATTTCCAGCAACCCGTATGTTCCCAATGATCTCTGAGCACAGAGCCAGGAGTAAACCCTGAGCAACCCAGGGTGTGGCCCCCAAACCAAAATAAATTAAATAAGCTTTATGAACTTTCCCATATGTCTTCGAAAAATGTCAATTGTCCTAGATATTCACACATAATTAAAACTAATGTGTATTTGTGGATGGGTGGGTTGGTAGTGGGGTGTTTTTGTCAGAGATAGCTCAGTGGCAGATCCGACCATAGCACCACCACCCCAAATGCAATCAAGTACATTGGCCCCATGATGAGGTTACCCCTCACATCGTCTCAACAGCAAAATAAATAAATGAAAGTTGAGAAGAGATACACATAATGTAACAACTTCTCAGAAGATTTTTTTCCAGTGCTTTTTTTTACCTGAGGGTCCTGTCAATAGTGTTATGACTAATGTTCATTTTACCGAGGGTCCGGTCAATAGTGTTATGTTTATTTGTTGGTTTTGGGGTCACACCTAGAAGATCTCCGGGCCTCTTCCTAGCTCTGTGCTTGAATGACCGCTGCTGGTGCTCAGGGGACCATGTGTGGTAGAGGGGATGAAACTTCGGTAGGCCACTCGCAAGAGTCTTTGACCTTCCACACTATCTCGCAAGTCTCTTAATGGTAACTATTATTGTGCCAACGAATACAGTCAGATATGTGTGGTATTTCCAAATTAATATACTTTGGAAATAAAATCTGTAAGTAGTTCAAGACCTATTTGTTGTTCAAATTCACTGTACTTTATTATTGTGTGCTTACACCTACATAGACATACAAACACACACGGCAGTGATTCTTTTAAGAGATGTTCAGGTTAACAGGCATTACTTTATTACTACTTCTGTGCCTGCCAGGAAGTCCAGGATGGTTGAGTTAGCTGTGACAAGTTCTGGTGTAACTCCAACCGATTCTGAATGTCCTGTTCTGCTGTTGTTTGGGGCCACACCAGTTGGTGCTCAGGGTTTATTCCTTTTTTCAGGGATCACTCCTGTTGAAGTCTGGGGGACCAAGTGTGGTGCCAGGGACTGAACCTTGGTTGTGTGTGAGGCAAGTGCTCTACCAGCTGTTCTCTCTCTCTAGCCCTGAATGTTCTATTTTAATCAGTCTTCTTCTCCTTCACTTGAAATGCCAGATTCCCAGGCTCAATGTTAGACCCTCACTGACTTGCCAAAGTCAACTAAACAAGAGTAGTGGCCTTGCCTTTCCATATGAATAAACCTCTGCTTTGTGTTAGGAGGCAGAGAGCAAACCCCAAACCAAAGACAAGTTGGGGCCTGTGAATGAATGAAGCAGTTTAAATCTATTTTTTTTTTACATTTTAAAATATTTTAAAATTTATTTAAACAGTGTGCACTATACATTATAAGCCTATGAGGGCAAGTGGTTGCTGAATTTTATTAGATTCTTCCTAAATTTTTCATTTAACAATGACCCAAAATGTACTCTGTAACATCCCCTTCTCCCTCGCATACAAAAATGACAGCATCTCCCCATTTGAAAGCCAACCATCTTCCACCCACTCAAATCTCTACCTAGTTTGGTTTTCATATTTTTCATATATTTGTTTTACGCTGTGTGCTTGAGGGACCTTGGAAGATGTTTCCCTTTTATTAGACACTTAACATGTGCACTGTCACTCTGTCCTATGTGGTATGTCTCCAAGTTATCATCCACATCTAACCTCAAGAGGAGATACTGCATTTTTAGCATAATTGGCAAGCACAGTCTGTGTTATTTATTATGTTCACTTCTCTGGTTCACAGTCCCATCTTTCCAGTATTATCTTGATTTCTTAACATTTTTAGAGCATTAACAGTGATTATAATCTGAGGCTTTCCAAAGTAGCAAAAATGTTAAATTCTGAGACTTCTTACAGTGGTAAAAGAACTATTTTCTTAGTTCCCCAGTACTTACCCTCTCCCAAACAAACAAAACCCCAAATAACTTTGAAGTTGAGGATAGAGCTTAGTGGCAGAGTGTATGCATCAAATATCTGAGGCTCTGAATTCAATTAATCAAACAAAGAAGAACCATTTCTGGATGTCTTTTAAATGAATCATAAAACAGGCAACTTTAAAGGGAAAAACAAATACATAAAATTCTGGTTGTACTTCATGTTTTAACTTTATATTTTTATTTATATTAGGATATTATACAATTTTCAAAGCTGATAACAGAATCTTTTAGGATGAGTATTTGAAGCATAACAAAATAAAAGTATTTCACAAAAGAAGTTCATATTACAGTACTATTGAAAGATAAGGCAAAGGATAATCAGACATTTGTGGGTTATAAACATAATACATTCATTTTAAAGAAAAAAACATTTAATATGAATAACATTTGGTTAAAATAAATATCATGTAAATGCTAACAGCAACACCTGAAGTATAAGGATATGAAAAAGGTGTTTTGTAATAGATACTATGGTGAACGGGGAAGCATTTATGGAAAGGTTGTGATCTGACTAAATTTACAGTCATTATGCACTGCTGAGCACTGGATTTAGACAGGGATTCCCTCCAGACACCATTTCTAAACCACAGCATATAAAAAAAAAAGTTACCCCATGTTTCCCTCTGGGCAACTGGTACCAATGTCTAAATAAGGCTTAGGATCAGTTGTACCTTTCATTTTACTTTTTGCGATTCAAACACTTAATCAATACCAAATTTATTGATTAAACACATATAAAGAGAACATTTTGTAGGCAGTTCTACAACTTAAAACTTCCAATCATCTTCATAATTTTCAGACATAATTCCTTTCAAAATTTAAAATCTTCACATAGTGGTTTCTTCAGGAAAAGAATGAATACTTAGATAAAAGATATGACATCTGAAACATAAGGTTTCACTACATGTAGAAAATGGATTTCCCTGATTATTAAATTTATCCCAGCTATTTCCTTCTAGCAAACAGATTTACTGAAAGGAAAAGCTGAAATCACGGTGAGGGGTTAAGCTAATGAACTTTAGGTCCGTGTATTTTTAAAGATTTTTTTTAAAGATTTCAAGAAAGAGAGTATCTTTCAACATGAATATGACACTAATGGTCAGGAAAAACAATTCTATTCCTACCTCTGGAGCTAGCTCTATGAATGTGCAAGATAAATGTTACCACAGTGTAGAATATTAGAATCTGGGGGAAACAGTGGATCAGACCCTCGCATAAGATAAGCCTGGTTTTCCTTGCCTCTCCCAAGATAAAACTGTCCTTCAAATATGATAACTGAATAACAGATCCCACAATTGATTTCATTTTCAAAAAAGAAAAGGTTATACTTCTTTTCTTTCTCTTTATGCATTTTTCCTCAAAATTTAATCAGATTTGAAAGTATTAAAATGACTGTCAGGAAACACTGAAATGAAAAAAAGAAGCCCAAGAGCTATATTAGCTCAAAGTAAGAGTCCTCTGAAATTAGTAAGGCTTTCCCATTGTCAGAACTATGCTCCCAAGGGCATAAAGTGGCAGGCTTTGAACAGTGACCACTAATTGGCCCTTTGGCTTTACAGATTTCTGAAGAAACTGGTCACTACTACCAGGAAGGCATTCAGAAATAACATATCTCCACAACAGTCCTCATTAATCTCTGCCCATTTTCTAAAACTGAACAAAACATTACCATCTCTGTCATCTTCATTCATGAATACAGTACTTTGCTTAAAATCTTCTCAACAGGAATATTAATCTCTTAAGAACTCTGGCTGTGGTAATGACTAGTTTTCATTTCATTTCTAAAATTAACATCTTGTCAAATGAATTGAAACAGTATCAACATTCACAGATACAGTACAACATACATTCTTTCCTCCTCTCAAACAAGACAAAATACATCCATACAGAGTGGCCCAATTTTTAAAATAAAGCTTTCAATTCAAGAAAAGTGTTGGTATACCAAGTATCTTTAAAGGGATGTTACATTCTCAGAAAATCTGAAACATTAATTGATAAAATGCACATGCAGTATAAATAATAAACTGAAGAATAAAAAAATTTCCAGAGGGAACCAATCAGTATATCAATGAAATCTTTAAATAGAAACATGTTTATACCATAGTACACAATTATGAATATAGCATCTAAATTTATAGAGATTGAAATATAGTACTGCAAGATTATTCAAATAGTATTTTTCAAATGTACAAACAATAATAAAAACACACAGTAAAAGCTTTGAATAAAATGTGCAAGTTTCAAAATTACTACCACATTAGCCAAACAAATCCTTAACCACTTTTTAAGTGAATTCATTTCTACCATTTTAATGCAGAGACTATCAAAAGAAAACAAACTAAAGCAAAAAGAAAAAATAAAACTCTTCAGTGTCTGACTCACATTTTGTCCCCAAATCATTTCACATTAGTAATTGTGTTTTAAAAGTATAAGCAGTCTAAAGGTTTCTCCAAGAGTTGAGAATGCCAACTCAATGTGGACGCATATGTCTACATTGATCTTAGAAAAATTTAAAGTTACAAATGCTAAGAACTAAAACACATACTTCAAACTTTTAAAAGTAAAATAATCACCAAAGTTCACAATTGTGTTCCTCTCAAATATCCATAAATGACTGCAAAGCAAACATGTCATTATGTTCAGACTTGTCCTCAGGTACTGAGTAAACTTCTGATAAGTGCCAAGCTGCCACCATCAGTATTTGGCAGAGAGTCTATCTGAACACAATTCATCAGCTCTGAACTCCAAATAATCCTAAAAAAACCCTTTGGCTATTAAAATCTGCCAGATTTTACTTATACTCCTAACATGCAATTTGATTATTCCTAAATCATTTGGGGTTTGCAAGGTGACTTAAACTGGTACAAAATGAAACTTAGTGAAAACTGGTTAAGGATTCAAAGCACATTAGCTCTGAAATATTAAATCTTAACACCCAGACAAAAACAGGGAGGTATGATTTGCACAAAAATACTTTAAATGATTTTGGTTCTGTTCTTCATGATCTTGCACATGCCTAGCTGCTCGCAGTGTAGGCATGCATCCTCTTTGCCACGTCGTAGACGTAGGTGATGTCTGGTCGCTTCTCGGGGTCTGGGTTGATGCACATGTTCACTAACTGTCGCAACTGCAGAGTAAACACAACACACTTAGGAGAACCGCTTTCTTGAGTTATTACAAATGAAGAAATTATGGGAAGATATAGAGGTACAAGTAAATTATTGGTTTTCCAACTAAAAGTTTGGTGAGAAATCTCTAATTTCAGTGTCCATGATTTCAAAATTAGTGGAATATCCCAAGTAAAGTCATTGGTGGCAAGATATACTTCCTGGGGCCAGAGAGACATTACTGAGGTTAAGGAGCTTGCCTTATAATCATCTCATCCCGGTTCGATCCCAGGCACGAAATGCTCTCTGAGCACTGATGGGTGCAGCCCTGAAGGTTCTCAAGCACCAGAGTGTGCCCATGCAGCCTGGGTAAACCCCAATACACAGACCCCAAGTGGCACAGCATATTGGGACCCTCTGAACTACAGGCCCCACTGGCTGAGAATCTTGGGGAGAGGGCCCAGGTCTCCTGAGCACTATCAGGAGGCTCCACCAATGACACAACCAGCCACCAAGAAGTATTATCTATAATCAGAGGTTGCAAATGACCTTATTATCTTTCAGAAAAAAATTATCAGAAGATAGCTCACAGAAGACAGTAGGTTTTAAATTATGATTCTAAATTAACTGTATATACACACACTTACTTGATCTCCATTAGCCAAGAAAATATGGTGGAATTTTCAAGTCTATTATGTATCTTAGAGTATATATTAACAAGAACTATATTTGCATATATACACCTTTTTTTAATTGGGTTCATGTTATGGAAAAAAGAACCCCCAGAATCTAAGAATTAAGAAATGTCAAGCAAGATAAGGTATAAATAGTACTCTAATTTTCAAGCGTATGAAGTGGTATTATTGTCCTCACTTTCTGGATGCCTGGGCTGGGGTTTAGTTATTTACATCATGAAGTAGCGGGTATCTCAATAAACCAAAATAATGTCCTTCTATCTGGTCTAAAAGCTTCTGAATAGAAGGATGTAGGATGTCATTCTCAATTCTAAATATCACCAGTTTATAAAACTATTTGCCTTCATAAGCAAATAGTTTATGGTTTTCCATAGGGAGCCAGTAAGTCAGTCGGAAGAACTGGACCCTTTAACTTTTTTGTCTTTAGGGACGATTTTAAGACTTTGAAAACATGTATTAACATTTTCTTATCAGTATATTAGCATTTAGTAAATGAACACATTTCTAGTATAGTTTTTTCACAGTCCTCAACTTCTTGTCTTTGTCTAGAGGAAGCAGTAGGTGATAAACATGTGTGGCTAGAATCTGTAAAAGAGCCTTGGAGAAGGCTATTGCTGGTGAGAACTCAACTTCAGAAAGAAGGTATATGTCAGGAAGCTCGCTGGATGAGGACAGGGTTTGTGGGAGACAAGAGAGCCATTGTGTATGAGGGGGAAGTGGAAGGGAGGCCAGGCAAACACCAACTATGCCAAAGTTATTTCCTTTAGACATGTGCCCACAAGTAAGTGTCGGCTTTTAGAGATTTACATCTTCATCTATCTATCTGGTTTTTTGTTGTAGTTGTTGCTGTTACTATTTTATTTTGGGCCATACCCAGTGTTGCTCAGGGCTTACTGCTGGCTCTGTTCTCAGAGATCATTCCTGGCAGCACTCGGGACGGTGTGAGGTGCTGGGGATAGAAAGCTGGTTGACTGTGTCTAAGGCAAATGTCCTACATGCTATATTATCTCTTGAACCCCCTTTCTAGGAAGAAACATGAGGTAAAAGACTTAGAATGGTTCTTCCAGCTCTAATCTTTTCAAACAGACGATTGTTCCAGAGTTCAATTTAATGAGTCAACTTCACATTTGGAAATCTGACAATGTGGATGGTAAGTGACAATGATTGAAAGGGTCTGCAGATTTGTACTGAATTCCTTGCAACAGAACAGTGTATAGCATTAAAATATTCTGGGGACAGGCAGATAGTACAGCACATGCTTTCCTTCCAAGTGGCCAACCTGTGTTCAATCCCTGGGCCTCATATAGTTCTCTGAGTCCCACTAGGAATGGTCCCTGAGCACTGAGCCAGTAATAAGCCCTAGGCACAGAAAGGTGGGCCCCTCCCCTCAAAAATTCTTAAGGACACCTATCTATCTATACAAGCCAATTTTGTTAGGATAATGGAAGAGAAATTTATTTATTTATTTTTTTTAATCATTTTTTTTTATTAGTGAAACACCATGAGGTACAGTTATAGACTTATAAATTTTTGTGCTTGGGTTTCAGTTATACAATGATCAAGTACCCATCCCTCCACCAGTGCCCATCCTCCCCCACCACGGGTCCTAGCATCCCTCCCACCCCCCATCCCCCCCCACCCCACCCCCGTCCCACCCTGCTGCTGTGGCAGGGCATTCCCCCTTGTTCTCTCTCTCTTCTTTTGGGTACTGTGTTTTGCCAGAGAGGCATTGAGTGGCAATCATGTTTGGTCTATAGACTGTTTTTAGCATGTCTCTCCCACCCTGGGAGGGTCTTCACAACACCCTTTATTTGGTGCTCTCTTCTCTATCTGAGCTATGGAAGAGAAATTTAAATCAGACTGGCATTTTACCACCTACAATGAAAACAGATACATTCAGTTATACATAATGCAGGAATCACTCAGAAAAGCATGTCTAATGATGATTTTACCAAAAAAAAAAAAAAAGAAAACGTGTTCTAATAACTCAAATAATTTGTTTGGAGATAAAAATCAAGTTTTTTTTTTTAAATAAAAGATGAGAGGAAAAGAGAGCTGCAGTACAAAGATTCACTGTATTGAATGAAAATACAAAGAGGTTTATGTATTTGAATAAAATGGCCTCATTGATCAGATGGTCCGGAAACCTTATTTTCTTGCATAACAGTTCTCCAACAGGGGAGATTTCTAACTGGCTAGGAGCTAACAGTGGGCCTGGAGTCTTTTTGTCACAGGAGAAATCAGCCAAGGTGAGCATCAGAATGATACAAAATGTAGCTGAAGGAGGCAGAGATTCTCCAGATGTCCAAGGAAGGGAATCAGGAGTAGGAATAAGGAGCAGCAGAAAAATGGGTAAGAAGGGAGAGGAGGAGGTGGTGGCACAGGGTGAAGAGTGCAGTAGGGAGAGCCTGCGGGAGGGGCAGCTGGGGCGGCAGGACCCTCCCAGAGAGTGTCAGAGGATGCACTGTTTGTTTTCCTCTCGATTTCTGTGCTTTAGTCTCTATCAGGGATGTGGTCTGTCATAAGGATTTGCCTGCTGCGGAGGAAATGTCAACAAGTGTCACAGTCTAATGTCAGAGATGAGTAACAAAATATGCAGACCGTGCTCTGTTTATGGACCAGGTAAGGTCGGGAAATATTTTTGCCTAAGCTTTGTTTTAAATAAAATATGAAATGAAAACCCTCCCCCTGTAAAACTAAAATAAGCTTCAGCAGTGCAGCAACTCACCATTCCGGTATTTTTTTAAAGAGAATCTGTAAGAGCCATTCTGCTTACAGGTAGGACCCTGTCCAGGCTTCTGTGCAGACATGAGGCAAGGCCAGATTCTCCCTCCTGACAGCCAACACTTCCCTTCTTTTTGCCTCTCCCTTCCCCTCCCATCATTCATTCAATCAATCAATCAAGTAGCATTCAGCATACTTTATATACCAGTGACTATACCGGAGTTGAGAGATAAAGTAATAAATGAAATATACATGGCAGTAGCCCCAATCCAGTTTAAAATCTACTGAGAACTGACAAAGAGATAAACTTAAGCCAGAGGGAATCAATAAATTCCATCATAAACTATAAAGTGACAGAGATTTTAAGAGAGACCTGTGAGATAGGCAAAAAGACTCCCTCTGGCAGCCGCCCAGGGTACAATTCTTACTGTCTTCCTTCTTCCTACCATCTACCTGACTCTAGCACTTTGACCCTGGGCCACGGGGTGACAGTCTTCTCCATGTTAAATGCCACAAACATTACATTGGGTCACTGGAATGTTCATTTCGACCCTCGATGGAAACCAAAGTTTCCTGCTATAAGCTTCCTGATTCAAATGATCGCTTTTCAGATCAGTTCAGTCTCGGTCTCCCAAGAACACATCCTACTTCTTAAACTGTCCACTGTCCCAGAAGCACTGGAAGGATAAACTCTTGCCCTTCCAGGAATCTCCCACCATGTACCCCAACTTAGGGATGCCTTGATTTGACTGAGACAGTTTTCAGTGCCTGCCTTCCTGATCAATCCTTCTCTTCTACATGTTTAAGGTGTTCACGTTCAGCCGAGTCCTCAAAGTGTAATCCTTCAGTCAGTGACTTGGCAGCACTGTTCATAATAAATCCTCCGACTTTTAGCTCTAACGACCCTGAAAAATGAGGACTGCTGAAGAAAAGCCCCAAAAACATACAAACTGGAGTCCCAGCCCCCAGATTCAAGACTTTCTATTGCAGTTGTGTCTTAAAAGCTGTTCTGTTTTTAAATATGGTATGTATTCTCCAAGTGCCTGATGAGCTCCAGTCTTCACAACTAGTTCATCTCTCTTTCGTCATTAGTGGTCATGTTTGTTCCCCACATCCCTCAACTCATGCAATGGCCTCCTACGTCACAGAGAAACCCCAAGGCTATCCTCAATCTGGTGCTTCTTTTGCACTTGTGTATCTGAGCCACCTCATCTCTGTTCTCCAGTGAATTTTCTTTTCCACCCTTAGTCTATCACTGGAATCTGTTCCAGAATCTGAATCTTTTATACATCTTTTATACAGTTCCTAGTACATAAACAATTCTGAATGAGTATTTGAAGGATAAAAATGATGATGCTGTTATTCCTCTTTTACATTTTCAATTTCTCCTCATTTGCTGGTTCTTTCATCACTGACTATTACTACAAGAAAGTCATCCTCAGATCTAAGAAAAATCAGAGAATCCTTGTTCACTGTTGCCCTACCTGAGGTTAGTTAAGCACTATGGGGTGAGAAAAACTCTATTATTTCAAGTTTCTTAATCTATAAAGTCTTCTACAATAGCATTTCTCCTTCCCTATCTCCCTAAAGTACTTCACAGA